ATAATACGATAAAGAAGGGAGTGCAGTGTAAGGGATTTAAAATAGAGACTGAATTACTATGCTGGAAGGGATTTAAACCCAATTATCCGTTTCGTAAACAATAAAATTAAATATTTATTTATTAAAAAAAAGATAAAAATAAGGGAGACTTGGTCTGCACTTCCTGTCAATAGTGTAGGATTTATATTCAGTCCCTATTATTAAAAAGTTGATCTGCACTCCTAATTTAAATTTAATCCCTATTTTTTTTATTTTTTCATTAAATAGTATAGTATAAATATGATGTACCCTTAAAATATATTTAAATACTTTTAATATTTTTTTATATACTTATAGCATATTCCGCTCTACTTATACTATGTCTCGTTCTACCTTAATTGTTCTACTGATATACCTTTATTTACGTTTTGTATACTTTTGTATGTGTATTTTAAAATAATAATAATAATAATAATAAATAATTATAATTACGTTTTATTATGGGATGAAACAAAAAAAACAACTACATACTTCTCATATCCCAAAGAAAATTCTATACCCGTTATTCTCGTTCATGTACCACAATATATTGAAATTTTTCCTCCTTCATGCAATTGATCGCTCTTATTTCCCCTCAAATTTATTCATATTCATTGAGATTTTTAAATTTGCACTAATATTATTATATTATTGGAATCTAATTGTAAAATAAAATATACATAATGTAAAAATTACAATGTGACTAATTTATTGAAATACAATCTAAAATTAGTACGTAGAATTTAAATAAAATCATGATATGTATATATATATGTGTATATATATTCATTCAATCAATATAAGTTACAAATTTATATTAAAAAAAAAATTGCAATAGAAAATTAGATATATAGATTTTAAATACAACTATGATATTATATATATCATTTATCAATATTAGTTTACTTACTCTTTTAATTCCACCTATAAAATGAAAAAAATTGATATTATTTTTGTACAAAATTCATAATTATATTTAATATAATACTCCCTCCGTCCCAAAAGAGACGTCTTATTGGGTGTTAACATGGGAATTAAGGAATAATAGTATTTAATTGAAAGTGAGGTATAAAGTAGTATATAAAAGACTTAAAAACCCTTACTTTTTGAAGAATTTTAAAATGTAGGTTAGAGTAATAATTAGGGGTAGTTTGAAAAAATAGAAATAATTTTGTTATAAAGTGGAGACTACGATTACTAAATAAAAAAATAAGACAATTGTTTTGGGACGTAACCATCATGAGTGTGCGTAAATATATTAATTTTTGTAGAAAATATGTTGAAATTTTTTCAAAAAACAAACAAATCCTTATTCTATAGAAAATAAAATTTACAAGAAAATAAAATTAAATAATTTTTCCTATCAAACATTTATATTAAATATACAGGTCACAATTTTGTATATTTTTTTTAATCTTTACTAATATTTTTATTTTTTATTTAAAAATGTGAAAATAAAATAAATATAAATATAATTTTATTAAAAAGGTAAATTAACATTTTAAAAGAACCAATAAAAGTAAATACAGTCATTTTTTTTTCTTATTCAACAATTCTAATTATAACAACACACCTAAAAAGTAAATATATAAAAAATAAATTATTCAAATACACATCCTAAAACATCTATGCATATACCATTTTAATATTTATGCATATACCAATTTAACATTCATGCATATACCCCACTAATAGAGGTAGTGGTCTTACGGAGTGCTTTAATAGTCTTCTACGTTGGAAAATTGATTGATATCAACTACATTCTAAAATACTTGCAGCTATATATATAATATTTAATTAACCACCAATTATACATTGACTACCGGTGTTTGTACCCCGAAGATATTGTTGCATATATGCACTAAAGATATACCCTAGTGTAATTATGTACCTACAATATAAAGTCATATGCTCCGCTAACGCGTATATATGCTCTGGTTATATATGGTTAAAAAAATAGATCGTGTTTGGTTCAACATATTCAATTACTCTTAGTAACCAGAGATAAATTCATCATTATTATATTCTCACGACTCCCTGACATGTAAGTAAAGAAAAGAACACATGTTTACTGGCCAAACAAGTAAGAAATGACGTTGTTAAGTTTGTTGGTTGTTACTCATGCATCATTACTCTCACAACTTGATTATTTTTTAGATATATTGCGTAGTAATCCACACCGTAACACACACAACAACATTTAATTCACTAAGACTGAGAGAGGAAGTGTTTTCACCAAAGTATGCGGATTGGCCCTCTCTATGAAAATGACTGAAATTAACTACACTTGAAGATACCTGATAATACACAAATAATACCTAAGAAACCATTATTTATACCTCGCATGTAGATGTTTGTACCCATATCACATTCTTATGTACATACATAAAATATCTACATACTCTAGGGCGGATCTTAACTACTTATAATAATAGTCTCATATGCTTCAGTAAAGAGTATATATACTCCAATAACATGTGGTTGGAGAACAATCGTTTTTTGTTCAAACTATTCACTTGTTAGCGGTAACTAAGGATGTGTTTATTATCACAGTCTTCCTGTGACACCCCATATTGTCAGAAAAGGTAAACAACACATATTTATTATGAATGGTTAACCAAGCAAAAAAAGACTTAGATAGGTTGTATGATATATGTACTATTATAGTTCAACCTCAACTAGTAGATGTCTAACAAAGTCATAAGTGACTAAATTGAATTATATTGGTTGTTAGAGCATATGATTGCTATCACAAATTGAAAATCTTTAGATCTATTACATATTAATTCACACCGCAGCGCACACAACAACTTTTGGTCAAGGGCATCTAAGCATAGGGTCTAACTCGGCTAAGCAGGTGAGTATTCTAGAGCAGCTATGTAGTACCTCCAACCTGGTTATATCAGGTACACCATAACAGTTCAAACCGTCGGTTACGGTTTATCAAAATGTCAAACCGAAACCAAACCTTCTGAATGACGGTTTCGATTGCGGTTTAAAAAACTGACGATTACGGTTTGAACCGCCGATTTATGTACATTCATTTTTAATATTTTTCTTTTTCCTTTTTAAGTTTTTCTAAATTTAAAATTTATTCAAAAATATTATTTTCGATTTTAATTTTATTATGATATATTTATTATTTATTTATTATGTAAAATTATATAAATAATAATTGCTAAGATTTTTACAATATAAAAGTAATTAAAACAATAAATTTACTAAGTAATTAAATCAAATTAAATTTTAAATTAAAATTAAAAAAAATTAGATAATAAGATAGTTTAAATCAAATATAATTGTATGATAAGAAATACAAAATCTAAAATATAAATACACAAATAATGTATATTATTATTATATAATTAATAATTATTTATTTTTATTAATATTAATATTATCTTTATTTTTATAACAATTTAATTATATATAGTAATTTGAATTACAAGTATATAATATACGATTTTAGCTCTGAACATCCACTCTCCACATTCCACCGTAGCGACAGTTGCAAGGATTCGTTTTTCGGTTTTTTTTTTTATTTTGTATTTTCTTCTATTTCATTTTTTTTTTCTTCTTTCCTCTTGCTTGTTCTTCACTGTTGCCGCCCGCCCATAACATTCCATAATCCACAATCGCAGCCGGCGTGCAGGTTCAAATTTAAAAAGAAAAAAATAATGGCCGAACCGCCGGTTGAAACCGTAAACCGGCGGTTTGAACCAGCAGTTCGCACTTTGACAAATATATAAGCCGTAACAAGAGGTTCGAAAACTGATAAATCGGAGATTTGGAACTACGTAGACAAATTTAAACAGAATGTGTTGGAAGTATATAAAATAAATTTGAAAGCATTTAAAGATATTCTAGAGGTACATTCAATTTTTACCGGAGAAAATCTAAAGGAGGGATTAATAGGGACTAATATTAAACTAAGTGAAGAAGAGAGTGCAGACCAATTATTTTAAAATAGGGACTGAATTATAACTAAACATTACATATAGGATGTGCAGACCAATTATCCGTAAAAATAAAGAGATTTTAAATGATCCTGCTCGATACTATATATATTATACTATATATTATGAAGTTATGTATTAAAATAGTAAAATATACTAAGGGTGTGTTTGTTTGGGGGTTTGGATTTTGAGTTGAGATTTGAATAGTAAAAATTTTGAATTTGAATAGTTGTATGATGTGATATGAATAGGGTTTGATGTGATGTTTTGAATGTAAAATTGATTTTTAGTATAATATAAAAAATGAAAAATAGGTGTTTGATTTGATGTTTTTGGGGGGAAAAAATTGGATGAATAGTGGAAATCCACCAAAATCCTTCAAACAAACACACCCTAAATACAAAATAACTTCATTTGTCACGGGAATGAATAAAATATAAACAGTACTCCCTCCATCCAATTACAAACTAAATATTTTATTTTTTTTTACATTACATTATTAGTTTATATAAAAAAGACAATATTACTTTACACCAAAAAAGACAAATATTATTAAACAACTGTCCACTATAATTTTTAAATGACCACATGCCGTGTCTTCTGACGAGAAGAGACGGACTGGACTGTTAGTTACAACTGGAGGGGATACACGTTCATGTATCTGTGTATCTATACATGAGTGTGTGATGATACTGGAAATAGGCAGGAAAGAGTGATGCCGAGGATCTCCTCCCGTTACAACTTAAATTAAATGGATTACAACTTAAATTAAATGGATGACAGACGAGACAGATTAGATGATGTACATACAACACATGCCTTCTCGTCCTTGTAAAGGGAGGGTCTTCTACTGTTGTAAGGATCATGCAAATATGGGACTCCCCCCAGCCAAGGCATGCCTGCCTGTGAAGGGGTCAAGAAACCAAGATGGATATACACAACGCAGATTATATATAATATACCCTTCCTCTACTTTACTTGAATTGAACAGCTACCACTAGGCAAAGATCTCAACACTCCCATGGATTGAAGTAAAATATTTTGTATTACTAACAAAATAGTATCATCGCCAACAAGATTTATAACTTTCAAAGATAAATAGATATAGAGATAGCTCAATTCATATTGAGGGCCTACCCCCAACAAACAAGTCATGTAACCAAAATTCACATCAAATCTCTGAACCTGGGGTAACGGTAGAAACAAGGAAATAATCAAGAGAGCACAGATACTAGCACATATAGCCACAACTCATATTAGGTCATTCTCTGAGCAGCTTCCTTGGCAAGAACTCTCTCTTTAGCTTTGGTCCTTGCCTGAGACTTGGAACCCATTACACCGCCGCCCCACTTCTTCCTTGTCTCATCGTATTTGTCATTAAAATTGGCCTGAAATCACAAGCACGGTGAGTTAGCTATGACCACTCCCAAGAATACATTACAAGAAATATAAAAAGTAGATTTTATGATTGTAGTCAATATGACATCCCTCACCTTGATAGCCTCGAGTATCTTACTGAACTCGAGCTTGTCTTCATTCTTTACGGATGTCAGGCACAAAGCAGAGGCGGTCTTCTTGTGGACAATCTGTAACAAAGTAATACATCATTATCACATAGTTAAACATAATACAAATTTGGGAAACAGAGAGAAAGAGCAACTTACAGTCCCCAACCGTGCTTTTCCCTTTACAATGCAGTAAGGGATCTCCATCTTCCTGCACAAGGCAGGAAGCCACACGACCAACTCAATCGGGTCAACATCATGAGCAATTACAACCAATTGTGCTTTGTTCTGCAAAAGATGATAAATAAAGAAAGACAAGTTACTAGCAACGAAAAGAAAGGAAAAAAATAAGGAGAGAGAAACACTGAAAGCATATTGGTGGAATCTGAAACCTGTTCAATCAGATAGGTCACATGGTTGAGGCCATACTTCACCACGATAGGTTTCTTGATCTCAGGAGTTTTACCTTCAGCTTCTGCCTGAGCTCTCTTCTGAAGACGCTCTTTCTTCTGTGCTTTATCCTCAGGTCGATATTTAAGAAGCATCTTGAAGAGATTTGTAGCTGAATGAAGAGAAAGAAATATTTACAAAAAAGATTACAGAATAGATTCGCAACAAAATATTACAAGGTACAAATTTTGTTCCTAAAATATTTAGTAGTACCTACCATAATTAAACAAGCCATTACATACTGGATGCAAATAACAAAAAGATTAGCACCAATAAGTAACATTTAAGTGAAATTGGGTCACACATAAAAGGTCCAACCTCACGAAAAATCCAGAAGTATCATTTAACCTTCAGATTCTAGAATCCAGATCCAAAATACACATTCATAATAACAGGTAAGCAAACGAGAGATTACAGAAAACCCAACAGCATACTTGTCCGCAAAACATTATAAGCAAACATAATAGCATGTAAAGTTAAACACGGGCATATCATCTTTTAATTCTTAGCATAGAGGTTTTTGCTAGAGGGGAGGCAGGGTTAGGTTACATTTATAGTTTTTTTTTTTTTTTTTCCGGGTGATATGTATCTTTGTGTTAATCTTTTCAATACAGAGGTATTGTAGTTACTAGTAGGCCTCACGTCTCCGCTAGTATGATCATGATGTAAATTGCTCTGTATTTCGTGGGAAAACGAATAATTCCTTAAAAATAAAAAAAAAGAACTTAAGCACGAGACTGCCATCACCGAGCTATATTGACAGAATCATAAAAATTGCAATGTAACTAGTGAAACTAATCAGTGCACAATAAAGAAATAAATAGAATAAATTGTTAAAAAAAAGCAAGAAAAATATACTACATACCCAGATTTTTGTCCAAGGTTTTAGAGAATTGATTAATTTGAGGCGGAACCTTCAGCCGCTGCTTCAAGATCATCTTTTTCCTCTGAATTCTTACGACCTGTGGCCATTTCACAAATCGGTGAAGATCCTTCTTCGGCGGAAGAGCGCCTCCGATACCAAACTGCTTGGGCCTTTTCTCAAAGAGAGGATTCACAGCTTTCTCCGGGGCCTTCTTCTTGGCGGCGGCAGGTAGCTTTGCGCCCTTCTTTGGAGCCTAAAAACAACATGAAATGCAAATATTAAGCGACCGCAATCCGAATGCATGGAATAGTGAGGACAACGAGAAACTTACCATTGCGTGCGTATGTGTGTTGGTAAGGGAACGAAGTGAAATCGGGGAACGGCTGCGAGAACCTCACAGACAGCTCCAGTAGAGATGATGAAAGGCTATATATTCCAGTCGACCGAAACCCTAGGTGCATGGGCTTTATTCCCTCTATCGTTGGGCCTAGGCCCAAAAAAATATTTTCATGTGTTGTAGTCGTCGTAATAACTACTCCAAATAGAGGAACAAAAGGGTGGTGCGAGATCCGATCCCCAAAAAAAAAAAAAGGTGGTGCGAGACGGCGTCGTTTTAGTGGCTGGTGGAAGCTGTCTCTCTCCTTCGGTGAAAACTGAAGAGGGGTTGGTTTATTTATGAAGTTCCTCTGATTCAAAGCGAAGTTGATAATCTTTCTCTGCGTGCTGGTGTATGAGAGATCGTGCGTGCTTGTTATCTCCTTATGGACAGTCGAAACGTCGTCGTCTGCGATAACGGAACCGGCGTAAATTATTTGCTTCCTGCCACCGCTCCATTATCTGATTTCGATGTTGCATTTTGATTCGCTTGCAACTTCTGAACTTCTGTTGGATGGATAGTGTCTAGATTTCGGCTATTGTATCTTGATCTTCTTGAAAAACAAAATTGATCATGTGTGTTTGAGTTGAGTCGGTAATGCATCAGTTTTTATTTTAATGGTGGCCAATGCACGATCCAATTTCTTTATTATGCAATTTTATATGTTTACTATATATTTATGGTTAGTTAACAAAATTATGAGTATCTGTCCATAATGAATGTGGTAATCTAGTGTGAACTACTTTGCTGTTTTTTGTATGATCCTGCTTGTTCATGTCATTTAGCTGACCGTGAAGTTTTTAACTTTTTTATGAATGCAGTATGTGAAGTGTGGTTTTGCTGGTGGGAACTTCCCCACTTCAGTGTTCCCTTGTGTGGTTGGTAGGCCAATGCTTCGCTACGAAGAATCTTTAATGGAACAAGAAATTTCGGTCAGCTTATTTATTTACGAGCATCACCAACTTTTGTGGTTCCTTGAACAATAAAATTTGATTGCTTCATCTTGTTTTACAGAAAATATTTTACCAGTGTGGGTGTATGCATACACGAATTAGAATGCATAGCTCAGATTTTAAGTATTTCACTGTTTCTTCATGGAATAAACACTGGGGCTGGTCTTGAGGTCTTGAAACCTTGCAATTTGAATCGGATATACTTAATTCACAATTGATTTTTTTCAATTCCAATTACATGATCTCAATCCCCAAACGTAATCATGATTATAAACAATTATATATGATCAAAAGCAAATTTGCTTTCCGACTCCGGCTGCCTACTCATAATGTTTTTCTACAGGATATTCTCGTTGGAGATGCTTGTTTAAAGTGGCAGCATCAATTGGATGTATCTTATCCAGTCAACAATGGTATCGTGCAAAATTGGGATGATATGGGGCATGTATGGGATCATGCATTTTTTAGTGAATTAAAGGTTTATTTCTTCTATTTCTTATAAGAAATTTTATCATTATACACATTTCTAAGAAATGTTAGTGTATGCAGTCTCAGTTTTGATATTTAACCTAGATTTTTTTTCTTTTACCTTTTTATCTTTTCTGAAGATAGATCCTGCAGAGTGTAAAATTTTGCTCACAGATCCGCCTTTAAATCCTTCTAAAAACCGTGAAAAGATGGTGGGATGAGCTTCTCTTTAGTCTTTGAACTTTTTGACATTCAGGCTCATTACTGATAACTTAATTGTTTGATTCTGTATTTATGCCCATTTTCAGGTTGAAGTTATGTTTGAAAAATACAATTTCTCTGGTGTTTTCATCCAAATCCAGGCCGTTTTAACCTTGTATGCTCAAGGTGGTGTTTGAGCTGAATTTTTAATGATTCAGATGCAGTTTCAAGTTTTATAAACTTCTAGAGGTTTAGAGAAATTAAGTGGATGCACTTTCTGTGGAACTTGAGCAGAAAATATCTGCATTTTGAAGAATAATGTTCACACCCCTAGTATACTTCTGGACAAGCAATAATTTTATGTGAACATGTTCTTGAAAACTCAGGTTTGCTTACTGGACTAGTCATTGATTCTGGTGATGGAGTCACTCATGTGGTAAGATTTCTATAATGCTATCTCTTTCTTGTGTTGTTGGCATGTCAATGTGCTTATATTATTTCCTAGCCCGGTTTATCAAACTTGCGTCTTTACTTGATAAATAGTCATTACAAAAACATAGTTATGTCTTTGGGGGAAAAAGATGATATTTTCTGATTGTGATCCATGAATTTTGTATCCCAGGTTCCAGTAGTTGATGGATACTCATTCCCTCATCTTACAAAACGCATGAATGTAGCTGGGCGTCATATAACATCATATCTTGTTGATTTACTTACGAGAAGGGGGTAAGTTTTCTTGGGCGCGTATCAGTTGATCCAATATGTTTGGTTTGCTGACTATGCAATGTTATAAATTAATTGGCATGCCTAGGTATGCCATGAACAAAACTGCTGACTTTGAGACAGTAAGGAATATTAAAGAGAAGCTCTGTTACATAAGGTGAAATAAGAGTTTATTTATTTATTTTCAATCATTTGTCACTTTGGGTATGCTACAACAATTTTCTAGCATGCTACAGTTATGACTACAAAAGGGAATATCAATTGGGATTAGAAACAACCATCCTTGTTAAAAATTATACCGTAAGTTGAATTTTTGAAAGCTCTTATCATTTCTTCTCAATCAAGTGCAACGATATGTAATTATTGATATAGTTTGATTAATCAGCTTCCAGATGGAAGAGTCATAAAAGTTGGCACCGAGCGGTTCCAAGCACCTGAGGCACTCTTCACTCCAGTAAGTAGCTTTCTGTATGGTGCTACAAATTCAGGCATCATATTATATTCTTCAATGGATTTTCATAATCGATATTGTCCACTTGTACAGCATATTTCATTTTACATCTATATTGCTTAGCTGCTTCTATCTTTTTCAATCCTTTCTTTTTACCTTTTTTTTTTCCGCTTAGTTCACAATAATATCCCTTTCCTTTGAAGTCAAAGACTTTACAATGCGTAAAACTTCTCTGTAGTCTGTATGTCTTCTAGTATCTGTTTGTTTGCCTCTTTTTGCCAACTAATGATTTATACTGCAACAATAATCTCACTTTATGATTTCTCTGACTAGAAAGAAAAGAAACTGATGTTATAATTACATGCAGGAACTAATAGATATTGAAGGAGATGGGATGGCTGACATGGTATTTCATTGCATTCAGGAGATGGATATTGACAATAGAATGACGGTAAAAATCATTATATCATCTACAAGATCATGTGTGAAGTACTGTACCTTTCATGTAACTAGAATCCCTTATTGCAGCTGTACCAACATATTGTCCTCAGTGGAGGGAGTACTATGTATCCTGGATTGCCCAGTCGGTAAGATATCTCAAACACTACCCTGCTTGTTCTTTGTTCAGTTTGATTTTTTTTTTTTTTTTTTTCTATTTGCTTGCTCTTTTAAGAGCTTTTGCTGTTGCTTCTCTTAGTAAAGTTTTAGCTTATCTTTATTTTGTTTCCCCAGCTTGGAGAAAGAAATTTCAGACCGATATCTTGATGTTGTTTTGAAAGGAAATAAGGATGGATTGAAGGTAAGTATATCAGATCAATGACATGACCTTTGCTTCAATTCATGGCACAAATTTCTAAGATCCAGTCAGCCTCATTGTCCCTCAAAAAATGTAACAACTAGGCAGAGGAGAAAGTGGAGTTAATCAATAGTCAATATCTATGTGGATTACCATATCTTTGCAGTATTTTGTCAACTCTGCTTCTACAAACACTACTCTATTCTTCTTTGTGTTTTGGCATAGAAACTACGACTGCGGATAGAGGATCCACCACGAAGGAAGCATATGGTTTATCTTGGAGGTGCAGTTCTTGCAGGCATTATGAAGGTGATTATATTTCCTGTTCATGCTTAGAGCATGTGCACTGGTTCTGTATGAATGAATCTGCTTCTTATATATGAAATCAGTAGTAGCGCTTAAAGAACTGTGCGTCATTACCAGTTTAAGTTTTCCGGTTATCAATGCCTATTCTTGGTTGCTTTATTTATGAAAACACATTTGTTTCTAGGTCTTGATGGTATGTTGCCTCATATTGTGTGCTATATCGGTATCCATCATGCTGCCATATCCTTAATGAACACTCTACTTGATTTGAATAATCGGACTGGACGTGTCCATTTATCACTCCAATACCTTGAATTACGACAGATCTTATATTGTAAGAAATGGAAAATTATTCAGATCATGCAATTTCTTTGCAGGATGCTCCGGAGTTTTGGATCAACAGACAAGACTATCTGGAAGAAGGAATTGCTTGTTTAAGCAAGTGTGGGCAGGCATGAGGCCCCCCCTGTATGTTTAGGTTTGAAGAAGATGAATTTTCAAATGAAACAATAGAGGAATGCAAGGGATCCATGTATTCAAGTACAAGTTGGTGTTGTATCTCTTTTGGCAATCAGAGATTTCATTTACATATTTCTTCTATCATGTGTGTCATCTTGCCCTTCTCAGTGCCCAACCAAGTCAAGTGTGTGATCTTAACTAAAGTAGTCTTCTAATGAATGCTCTGTCAAGGTTTTTCATTGGGTAATGTATTGATGATAGCTGGATTTACATTTACAATAACTCTCTTCATATAGATTAGATTATATATGCATAGATAGGATAAGATATTTAATAGCGTGAGCAGTAGATTAAACAAACCTACTACCAATATAAATCTACAGCAGACACTGCTGATTTTATATGGAGAATTGAGATTGAATAACATTATGATATTCACTTCTCACAGTAGAGTACTTTTATGTATGCAATCGGTGTTGGTCTTTAATGTAGCAGAAAAACTAATGTGTTCTGCTCACGTCCAAGCAACCCTGATATTCAAAATGAGCTCAGAGGTAAGTGGTTATATATGTGTATATATTATATATGATATATTGATACATGAATTGTTCATTACTGTTAAATGCAGACAGCAAGCGGAGAGGACAGTGAGGCAGGGCAGGGTTGGCTCATGCAATTCCTCCCACCTACTGCAAATTTAGTGTTATACAGCACAATTTCCTCCCTCCCAAGTCTGTGACCTCCTCCTTTTGTCTTAGTTTTCACTTCCAACAGCACAACACCTAGTATCTCTCAAGTATATCCCCTCTTCAGCACATACTGCATTCCCCGTGCTAGAGCCTACTTTATTTTTCTGGGGCTTCCTAATAACATCGCATCCCATTCACTTTGCAGCTGCTCCACAATCTCCAAATTGGTTTCATTTGTAAAACCAATCCTATACTACTGGCATTCCACTTCCACTTCTATTTTCATTCTGATATGATACACAATGGGCGCAACCAAAGGTTTATTCAGGACGAGGGAAGGTGCAAATGTGCTTTGGGTTAATTTTGGCAATAGGTTGAAGCGGTAAAGGTTTGTTATAAATTACCTTAATTTCTTTATTTTCTTATTTAATTATTTTTGATAAATTGTTAGGTTAGTCATGTCTAGGCCCTTAGTAGTTTTGACCTAGTATTTAAGAATTATTTGAAGATATTTCAAAAAGAGTAGTTTTTCCTTGGTTATCAATAAAGTTCAATCATTTGGTTCTATTAAGTTCTCGTGCCATCAAATTGGTTTGACCTATCGGATCTCAGCGGAGAAGGATGAGGTTAACCAATACGTAGAGTATTGAAGCCCTGAAGGAGTCCTTGGAGGAACTTTGAAGGCGTGGAAACGCAACAAGCAGGGTGCCGTGACTAGAATCGAAGGTGGAATGACAAATGGATACTCTAAAGACAAAACTTTCAGCAACTATGCGGGATACGATTCTTAGGTTGTTTCCACGTGGGTTGCCCGCCACACCTATCAAAGGCTTGACAGCAGCTCAGGGAGCTATGGCAGGAGGAGGTGAGGCAGCTGGTTCGTTGACAAAGGCTGCCGGCATCAACGGGGCAGAACGTTTGTTAAGGATGTTGGAGGAACTTGGAATACCCCGACAACCGATTTTAAGCTTAAGGATGTGCAATACTTTAGCTTTGATGGCCACGACCCCTTAGGATGGGTTGCTAGGGCTGAACAAGTAACAACACTTCATATTACACAGTCCCTGAGGAGATTAAGGTGAATCTTGCGTCAGTGACGATGGAAGATGTGACGCTCCATTGGTCCCGTTGGCATATGATGAAGCATGTTTCTGCCTCTTGCATTTAATTCTCCCAGGCATTGGTTACTAGGTTTAACATGTATTCATTGGTAATTCGTCTCATAGGATGGTGATGTTAAGGCAAACAGTATGAATGCCAATTTATTCATTCAATTTGCTACTCAGGCTCAACCATTGACGGAAGCGCAGGCCCCTAAAGGTGGTGTAGCCCCTAAATCTCGAATCCGCAATCCGTGTTAGCAGAAACATTAAATGGGAATTGAAAAATGGATCTTTGGCAGAATATTAATTGCGAAAAGCCTATTTGACACTACGAAATAACCTTGGTGGGCGGGCTCAAAGCAATATTACCTCAAACACTAGTGGAGGGGTAGAGAACCGCCATTCGACTGGCAGTGGAAGCACAAAAAATTTAGCTGCGATGGGCATGGTTGTCACGGCGCGCTTTTGCGGCGCGGCGCTAGGGGATCGCCATGGCGACAAAATGGCGAACGCGGCGTACTATGTATAAAATAAAATAGATATATATAATTATAAATATCATAAATCTGTAAAAATCATACATTATCAACTTCCTATTAATCTTCGAAGCTTCGTATGCCTTAAATCATAAAAAAAAATATAATACCATAAAAAATATATTTTCAATCATAAAACAAAACATAATACTATCCACGAATCTCTAAACCACCAATTTTATCATCTCAAATTTCAACAATCAAAGAGCTCAAGTCCACAACTACCACTAGGAATATCTTCCAATCATCATCATCAATGTCATCATCTAATGATACATCTTCATCGTCTAATTCTTGCTTCATCAATGCCGAAGTTGACGCTTTCTTAGGACGTCTAGAGTATAATTGTATTGATGAAACCAATGTATTTCCGATATTTCCTCTTCTAGGAATATTGCGGCGTTCAAGATTGGTCGATGCACCCATAGCTTCATCAACATGACTCCATGTAAGATCCTCTCCCGAATAAACTACATCATTGGTGTCGAGAACCCACTCATTATCCCATTCAAATTCCTCAAACACCAAGGGATTGAAGTTTTTTCCTTCTTCGCGCCTCTTTTGAAATCTATTCGCAATTTTTCGATTGTATTGAACGAAAACTAAATTGTTCAATCTCTTATGCTCCAATCTATTTCGTTTTTTTGTGTGAATCTAAAAAATATAAATTATAATATATTAGTATATGACTACGATAGCAATAATGTTTAATATATTATTTATATAAGTAATTAAATACTTACAAATTCAAATGAGCTCCAATTGCATTCACACCCGGAGGACGAACAACAAAGACTAATTATACGGAAGACAAGTGATTGAAGCTCGAAATGAAAACTTCCAAAAGCATTTCACTAAACAACTAAAATTGTAAAACATTAAAATATATGTAGTTCGAACTTTAAAGAAATATGGAAAAATAAATAAATAAAATAGAAATTATAAAAATTAAGCACTTACGAGGACTTTTTGCCTTTTGTTGCTTAATAGCCAATTGTTTTCCGAAGCTTCCCCACATATTATCATAATCATTGACTTGATCACAAATCTTTGTTTGCAATTTATCATCAGTGACAATTTTTTCAAGAACATCATTAAACATAGCTCGTGCTTTACGAGCATATGCATTATCATTTACCTTGAGATCAAAGTACTTGTAGGATTAAGAAACAATGCAGCTCCATACAACTCGACTTCCATTTGATCCTCCTACCGACAATCGATAATATGCATAACTTCTTTCAACAAATTTGGTTTTTTCTCAAAATCTTCTTTGATTTTCCTTTTAGCTTCATTCATCGCTACTGCAAGCTCCGGCATCGCTGGCTTCTCATCCTCGTCAACGATCCTCAAAAAATATTAGAAGTGGATGCGATGCTTTCATACAATACTTCACACCAGTCCAAAAAGAAGAAGACAATACCGTGTTTGCTACTAATCTTCCGGCATTTGTATTAGCCAATTTCGATGCAGTCCAATCTTCGCTCATAAATAAGCTCTTCAAAACATCCCTATGCTTATATAAGCTTTGCAAAGTAAAAAATGAAGTAGCAAACTAGGTAGACCCAGGTCTCAAAAGATCACTGTCGTCCATCTTCTCCCGGATCGCGTCTCAAAAGATCACTGTCGTCCATCTTCTCCCGGATCGCATTAAGGAGCCTTACGTGCATATAGATATAGGTAGTAACTCTTCTTGTATTGTCAATCTTTGCCTGGAAAACAGACAATTTCTCAATATCTTCCAACATAAGATCAAGGCAATGAGCTGCACAAGGAGTCCAATATAAAGTGGGTATATGCTGCTTCAATATTTTACCCGCTGCCTTGAAATTAGCACCATTGTCCGTTACTACCTGAACCACGTATTCTTTTCCAATTTCTTCAATTTTCGCCTGAAGTAAATCTGCCAATAGTGATGCAACTTGAACTTGACTTGATGTATCAATCGACTGAAAAAAAAATGTACCTTCTGGGCTATTGACGAGGAAATTAATCAAATGCCGCCCTCTTTTATCTGTCCACCCGTCAGCCATAAGTGAACAATCGTATTGCTTCCAAGCAATAATATATTTTTCCTTCAATGTTTGCGTCTTTTTTACCGTCTTCTCCAAAAAAGGAACTCGTAATTCATGATAACTTGGACCTTTTACACTCGGTCCCATTTGCCCTGCTAACTCAATCATTATCTCGAAACTTCGAGACTTTGCCACATTGAATGGTATGCCATTTTCGTAAAAAAAATCGGCAATATGTCCATGAAATCTTTCGATCTTCTCTTTGCTCCTTGTACACGCTTCCAATATTCTTGACTTCCACTACTCGTTTTGCTATGTCTTTCCTCAGTGATTTCCTCCGAGGTTTTTCTAAGCATTGAGGCAACCGACTTGCTTTCTTTTCCACCTTGTGACGGCATCGATGAAAAATTTAGAACAGATTGCGAACGCTTCCTCTTGCTCAAAGTACCCGAGCTAGGATAAGAAACTGAGTCGTGCGATACCCCTTGCCTTGCTCCTTGAACATTCACATCAACATCGTCGTCAATGTTGTAGTCGTCATCTAATTCAACACGACTACGACTGGGCTGCTTTCCTACTGTCTTTTTCTTTAGGAACCCCCGCATCTCATTCCAGATTTCTTCGGTAGTCTTTGAACACTTCTCTATATCTCCAGAATTTCCAAGCAAGTGTTGTTTCAATCGCTCTATTTTCGATCGTACTTGCTTATGGCAAAGGGAACATTTTACCAAATCTCTATTTCCCAAGTCTGGCCAAAAAGCATATTTCCAACCCGGATAATTTGACTTAGCTTTTCTTTTAGGATCTTTGGATAGATCTATCGTTGATGCTTCACTTTCGGCCATAGCAAATTTAATCCTATAAATATTTATATATCAAATATGTCAAAATAATACAAAATAAATAAAAAAATTGTTTTATAAAATGAAAAAATATAGAAAATATGATGCAAATAAAAATAAATAATATTATTATATTAACAAATAAAATATATATAAATAATTAAATAAATATTATTAAAACTCTAACTAATAATAGTAATATAATATATATATATT